CTAACAATAAAGGTTTCTTTAATGTGCTCGAAATTTCATTACCGAATAAATATAATTCTAGATGTTCACGGATATACTTGTAGCGAATTGTATAAGCTATCAGAACATAGAATTATTTTTCCAATCACAACAATTTAAAGTGAGGATATGTTAAGATTATCGATTATAGCATTCCTTCGGTTATACGAGTTTTTTGATGAAAATAGCGAAATCTTGTTAGAAATATTTTCTATACTAAATTTCAAGCTGTCAAGTTTCTGAAAACTCCATTCGCTCCATTTTAATCTGCTCTTTCAATGGATTGTATATAGTGTTGAGCAAAAATTTTCTGAACATGAGATACTTTCATTATCATGAACAGGTAGCCCATGGTCGATAGTATTTATGGTGAAAAAAATCTCGATGATAACTTTTGTTGTTCGTTCGAAAATAAAAATTTCCTGAAAACTATTGCACTACAAAAACTTCGAATTTGAGCTCACTATGAACACTTTGAAGCTCTATGTCTCCACCACGGTTAATCTGTTTGAGCTGAAATTTCCAATTTCTTCTTAACTTAACAAGGCCTATCTACTGTACAACCAAAACGATGAGATCGATTGAGCAGGGCTCTGCTGAAAGCAGTCGTGGCTTACAAGGAATACCTCCTTTGGGTCGATTTTCTATCGAAAATAGTTTTAACTAAAATATATATGATTCGATGCAGTTTTTGACGCTGATTCCGAATATGCTATCTATTTTGAACTTTGACGGGATCATGATAATAAAAACGCCAACTACAGACACATTTTTCTTCCTTACGACTCATGTTGCCAATAGGCGGGAAGAATGTGCAATTATTTTAGTAACAAAACAGAATGTAAAAAAACTAAATAGTAATCGTTATTGCCCATGATCTGACGATTCTAACGAGATAAGGCAGTTGATTGTATCTCTTGTTACAAAAGACTAGATAGATTTACAAGAATGCTCACTGATACATACTTTTAGCCTGATGGATCTATTTATAGCAGATAGGATTTTTTTAGCCTTATTATATAGCTCTACATCTAATCAAGTAACATTTTTCTATTCAGTTTTTCATGCTGATTCAGAATATAGCATTTTCAAAATATTCAAAAACTAGCTGAAATTCAAATTTGACAATTTCCACAGAAAAAAATTCAACGTAAAAATCAGCAGTGTTCAGGCTTCCGAAAAAGGAAATTTTGGAAGTTTTGGAAATTTCAAGTACCTGTGTTCTAAATTGTTTGGTACTTTCCAAAATTATATAATTTCCGAAATTACAGAAAATTCTGAAATTTCTAAACTTTCCAATATTTCCAAAAAATTTTCATTTACTTTTCTATGTAGTTATCAAGTTGATGGAAGCTTCGGAAATTTCTGTAATTTCCTTTTTCGGAAATCTGAACATACCTCGTAAAAATGGTTTTTTCTTAGTCCTTCTACTTTTTTAAGGTTTTCTCAGCCAAACAGTGGTCGAATTGAAATTAAAAGTATATATTCGGGATCGGCTTTTCAAGCTCTATTAAAGCATATATAAACGAACGCGAAAAAAAATTCATTGAAATTTTGGTATTGTTCCTAAAACTTGTTGCTTTCCCTATTAGTTAAAAAACTAAAAAATATGTTTACTAACAAAAACTAGACATGTTCGTTTATTGTCAGGGCTGGCCCGATAGAGGGTTTTGGGGATTGTGACAACCCCCCAATAATCGAAAATTTTCGTTTTTACCCAGCAAAAACGAATTTTTTTTCGTGAGTAGTGTTAGAAAAAAGTTTTATTCGCATTAAAAACATCCGAAACAACCCCCCAATGTTTGCTGACTCGGGCCAGCCCTGTTTATTGTTCATTAAATTGTAATTCTTTTATCACAACAATTATTTTCTTTGTTATTATCAACTTCGACAGGACCCTTACTCAGATGATATCGCAATATAGCATTATTATTATTTTCTCTTCTTGAATGTTTTCGTTTCTTCATCGTTACTGTTGATATTTTAGTATTTTTTTTCTGTTTTCAATTGTTCAATCGATAAAGGCAATGATTCTCTTAACCTAATGTTAAGAAATTTCGATGTTTAAAGAATAGTTGATTTGTTTTACTAAAATGTACCTCCGATCATAATTTTATTTTTAATTGAAGATCATCTCACGTTGTCCAGAGTGCAATGCTGACAAAAGCAAAAGTATCTAGGAATATCAGTTTTTGCCAAATACGAAAAATGAAATCGTAATAGAAATTATCAAAGTATTACGAGAATGAAAACGCCAGAATGAACAGAAAAATTATTTTTAAGCAAGCGAGAACGGAAAATGAGAATTCAGAAAAGTCGTTCCCACAGCGCAATACATTGTCTTTTGTCACCATCTACTTATATTTTTACGACTCTTGAAAACAAATGACTGATGCTCATTGTCAAGATACTGCCACTCACACCTTCGTAGTGATGTAATGTTTGAATAGTAAGACGAAAATATTATACCAATTTTCGAAATCATTTTGACTTTAGCAGATTTAGAAGAATTTGTAACGATTGAAAGAGTATGTACATAGTGTGAGACATAATTAGTCACATCACTTTCGAACAGACTAATGCCCATGTCACTTTACTCGACTGGTTTCATATTTCCTTTGATAAAATATCGGTACTTTGTGACTTTCAGAAATATGACTTGCGCTATTTGAAATTCGATCATACTAATTGGTAAAGCTCTTCGAGTTACACTTGGAACATGTTTTTGAACGAATCACTGTAGGTATCACTCGAATCCACTGCTAGCTTCACCTACGTGTTAAATATTTTTCTTTTTTTTCCTACTAGCATCCTCATAATTCACTTATTGAATCGTGGAACGGGTATCGTTTATTTATAATACTAATTGTTGTTGTCATAATTTCGTTTTTTTTTTAATGAGGGGCTGGTCTAAAAAATCATGTGATAAATTGGAAGAGGATAGGTGAAGGGTTAGATGAGTTATCAAGTGATCGATATTACCTTTTAGTTGCTTAAAAAAAGATGTTAGTGCATTTGCTATGAGTTTATAATATCAAACACAATATCGCTACTATTGCTGATCACAAGGAAATTGCTTTATTCTATCTATTTTGAGACACATTTCTTTGTCTCCTCTTACTCAATCTTCCATAGATGGAAAGAGAAAGTAGTTCTAAGTTTATAAGTAGACATTCTTGACATATGGTTTGTGATCGTATATCCACAACGTGTGCTACCGTATATGATGCAAGTGATGAGAAGTGTTGCTGAAATGTTTGGCACTATCTATGGCCTTGCCATGCTAATGTCTGTCATAGACTGTGGGGGAAAAAGTTCAAATCTCTACCTTTATACTTTAACACTCCTTTTAGATTGTATTTCACAAAAGATAAGTTTCCTTGTAGTATTAAAAGATGCGACTAACAGAATCTGTTTGCTTCCCAATTTCTATATGATCTTGTTAGACAACTACCATATCAAGCGTCACATCAAACCATGCGTAAAGACGGACATGACGATACAAGTTCATGGAAAATTTGATTTCGAATCAACTTCTAAAAGCAATACTTCATTATCTTTAGAGAGATATTAAAGTTATCAGAGCATCAGATATAAGAGCAATAATCCACATATCTTGGAAAACATGCCAACTCAAAACATTTGAAGGCGTTACACAAAAATGTGGACATCTTTAGGTTGAATATGTGTTGTAAATTTGAAATTGAATGTTTTTTTTTGTTTATGTGAGCATTTTTCAAACTGGTTTTAGGGTGTGGATTGTTTGTGGGTTGTAAGGTGTCATTGGGATGTGAGTGTAGGATGGGGAAGCGGAGGGTATAAACAGATCATATGCACCCATTCCCGCATTCATATCTACATCCACGGTCACATCCAAACGCACACCACACAGATACCCCACATCCAAAAACTAAATGAAAACACAAATATATGCTTAAGAGAAACATTTCAAAAAAGTTATTTTTATTGAATTTGATCATTAAAATGAACTAAAACAATAAAATAAACAATTTAGACAAAAAAAAGACAATTTGTATTTAATCGAGTTGTTTTAATTATCTGTGGAGCGACATCTTAGCAGAACAGCAACATTATGTATATGTAGTAGATCCTATGTAGTCTATTTTCCATCAAAATCAACGATTCAAACAATTTGTTCCTTTTTATTAAGTCTTTTTTTATAACTTATCTAATGAACTAATATTTTCGGTTTTGACGAGATCGATTTCTACTTAAAAACTCAATTGTCATAACACCCTTCCCCTGTGTGATAATTGTTGAGTAAATAATTTTGAACTTCATAATCTTGAGATATAGATTTAAGTTCAAGTGACCATTGTTGTGAATAAGGACAAATGAAAACATATTTTCTCAGTGTGTCGCTTCATGAGAAATTGTTGATGCATTTGTCCTGTGAATATGCAAATGATATAATCGTTATTTTTTTTATAAATTCAATTGGTGACAAAATAGTGACTTTATTGATAGATGAATTAGTTTCTCATTTAGTATTATTCTATTAGAAACAGTTCTACCTTCGAATATTTGGTTTCTGTAGGAACTAACAACAGATCAATAAGAAAAAAAGTTTTGAACATAAAGTATTCATTATTCACAGTTTGCAATTATTTAAAAACAGATTCACTTCAGGTTAGATACTATATAAGACATTGATCAATGTGAATCATTTCCGATCTATCAAAAATATTTCAAACAACATAGTTCATCGTTTCACTAAAATATTTTCAATCATAAAGACATTTTTTGATTACGAAAATCATTTAATAACAATGAGTTAGATGAAATCAATTTCTAAAACAGAAGTAACGTGCATCAATTATGCTTGTAGTTCACATCTGCAAGCTTTGTCATCATCTTCTCAGACCTCTCGTAAATTATGTGATCGCTCAACAAAAACGAAATCTATATTCAAACAATTACTTCATGTAGGATTATATGACGATCTAAATATTTTGCTGAATATGCGATCATCTAAAGATACTATCAACAGCTACTACCGTTTACCATCACCCGAAGAGGTGAGAAAATTTCGATGGTTAGCTAGCAGAGGTGTCCACAGGGCAGTTTTTTTCACCCTGTCCTGTCCTGTACCCTGCTCTGTCTTACCCCACCCTGTTGGCCAGAAATACTTAGAAAAAAAAACACNCATATGAGAGAGGATCCCAGATAACCCTGGATTGGCTTGAACAACACCATGTTTTATCCTTACAATAGTAGACAAAAGCTACCAGCTCACACGAGAAACTGTTAGCTTTTGTCTACTATTGTAAGGATAAAACATGGTGTTGTTCAGGCCAATCCAGGATTATCTGGGATCCTCTCTCATATGACCCGGACAATAGTATGCTTTATCCTTACAATAGGACTGTATCAAAATGGGACATCCTGTCAGTTGATCACGCCCATATATATAAACTTAAAGTTTATTTTAGTTTAGTCATAGTAAAATAATCTGAACTCATGTGCAGTTTTGTACATGATTTTTATTGATTTTGAGGATAAACTGTGAACATCTACTTTTTTTTGTTTAGATATTGGCCAAAATTTGATAATGATCGAAAAAATATTGCTCGTCGAACAATATCATTAAACTGGACTCGCCCAATATTTTATCGACAAATTCCAATTAGTATTCATGTTCCTTCGTCATATGCATTTATTATTACCAGTATTTTTTATCATTTAATAATAAACTATTGTTTTTTATCAACATTTCTTATTCTTGAACGTACCTCATTTATAATTGCTTTATCTATTCTATCGCGATTTTGCTTAATTATTACACGTATTTATACATTTATCTTTTTATTTCATCTCAATGCATGGTGGTTTGCAATGACATTTTGTATTGTTCATTTTTCATTAATGATTTCTCTTCTATTTGATCGATCAACATTGAAAGATAATCAAAAGAAAATTTTTATTAAATTAATTTTTTCGTTTTTAACACATAGCTCAATTAATGATATATCGATTAATGCATTGATATCACTGGAAAATATTTCAATATTTCTACATCGTCTTTATCTTGAAACATTTTCATCACATAATGAAACAACAGTACGTTTAATTATATTTATTTCAATACTTATTTCATCACAAATAATTGGTTTTCTATTTGATATTTTATCGAAAAATATTCTTTATCGAACTGGAACAACTAATCAAACAATGAGTTAATTGTAGAAAAATTAAAATATATTGTTTCAACTTTTCTTTTTTTCTGCTTTTGTCTTTTTAGTTTATTTAAATAAATCAAACAGGATTGTTTGATTGAGTTAAAACAGTTCTTTACTTTGTGTTCTACAAAAGAAATCTGAAGAAGATATTGCAATGTACATTGTTGTAGAGTTTTATCTTTTGCTTTTTTTAAAATTCTATTGTTTACTAAAGAATGATAGTTCATCAACTTCATACAAAGAAGATCTTTTCATCTCTATGAAATCAACCACATTTATACTTTTCTCTAACTGGTATCAATTGAGGTTGATAATTTTCTATAGACAATAACCATTTCGTTCATCTGTGTACCATAAACATGTATTCACCTGTTGGCGCTCAGTCACGGATAGACATTTGTCAACATTGTATAGATCAGAAACCAATGTCAAATTTATTATCGTTCGTTAATGAACTACGATTGATTAATAATAACATGGATTACATCGTCTGTCAGGATTCCAGCGTCATAGGATGTGCTGAGATCACATCGTCTGTCAGGATTCCAGCGTCCGTGTCAGAATCTTAGCGAAAGAGTTGTTCAGTTAAAGACGCCTCCACGTCGTTTGTCAGGACGCTGCGATGCATGGAGTAAAAACAATACCTATATATATATCTGGTTACGAAATAAAAGTTAATTTGTTCCTAGTTCATCAATCAAAAAGCTCCAATATTGACTTTTCATTTGAATGTTTTTTTCTATCTCATATTAGACACTGACATATATATTTGTTTTTCACTTGTTTGAGAATGAATCATATTTACAAATTATTTATTCTTGTTGATATGATTATACATCGAATATAATACTTGTCAATGTTCATTTTTTTTCTATCGTATGGATCTATTTATTTTGATTTTACTTTCAAAAATTACAAAAACGATCATATTATTTAAATATACTGTCACGTTTTTGAGCGTTTTCTTTAATTTCATCTGTAATAGCTTTTGTCATATGATCAATCGTTAATTTCTTTGTTGATGAAAACATATTTCCTACTAATTCATTTGGTTCACGTTCACCGCCCCATTGTAAAAAATTTTTTCTAAACTGTTCACCGGTTGTTTTTGATAGAGGATCTTTTAAAAATTGATCATTCCATATTTTACTTGCTATTGAGCGTGCAATAATATAACTAGAAAAACGAGCGCCATAATCAACTAAATGATAAAATTTTAAATAAGGATATGTTGATGAAATGTAAGGTAATGATGTATATTTTGTTAATAATGATGAATAAATTTTATCATTAGATTGTGATAATGGATATGGAGCATGAAATGCGTGATCAAACATTGCACATGCTACCTATAAGAAACTCAAAAATATTATAAAAAGAAGAATATTTCAGAAAATTACATACTTGAACTTGTGTACGATGTGCTTGAAAACAATTTTGAGCTAAATGAAGACGTTGAAGAAGTTCATCAGGTATAACTTGACCAGTTTGATAATGTCGTGCAAATAATTTAACTACTCGTGGTTCATAAACAAAATATTCCATCCATTGTGATGGAATTTCAGCAATATCAGTTTGACATCGAGTACCAGATGCATGTTGATAACGTGTTCGAGCTAATGCTGAATGCATTGCATGACCAAATTCATGAAACAAATTTTCCACTGATCCTTCAAAACAAAGAAAAACTTAAAAAGAAATATTTTAATATTGATTTATATTTATACCCAAAGTAAGAAGTGTTGGAACATTGGGATTAACGCTTGGAGGAATATTAACATGAAGAACAACAATTGGTAATTGACATGAACCATTATTAAGACGTCGACTACACTGAATTGTAAAATGACAATCATGTGGAACTTTATCTTGTCTAAAAATTAAATACAATTAACAACAGTAAAATTCAATATAAAAATTAAAACAAATCTTACCGTTCAAATAAATCACAATAAATATATCCGACAGTTCCTTCGGTCACATGATCAACTGAAAGTTTTATAACAGATGGATGCCAGATTTCTCCTGGTGCTGTTGCTTGTTTATTTAATGTTACACTAGAAAAATAAAGAACTCGACGTAATCTCTAAGTAACAATCTACAATGACGGCGCGAGAATGTTAGGACAAGACGGAAGGTACAGCTCGTTGGGTCCAAAATTTTCGGACTCGAGTCTAGGAGCAACCCGACGGGCTCTAACAAATGGGTGGGTACGAGTTGCGAAAATCTGAAAAGTATGATTCGATGCATTGGCATTTCGAAGCAGTAGAAATTTGGTGGCTATAGTGTAATTCTTTTTGCGTTGAGAAAGTGCGCCAAAGACTTATCGCTTTCGACCATGGTTTCTATACAGCAGTCAAACTTTGAGACAGGTTCATAAATTTTTATAGAATTCAAAAACATTGACTGCTTAGAAAACATTAGTGTAGGATTCCATAGAGTTCTAACTTATCTCGAAGAGCTTTCTATCAGAAACGTTTTTTATGTTTAGGTTAGAAAAGTCTCTCAATATTTTTCGTCATCGCATGGGACTACGCTCGTAACAATAATAAATGACTATCGAATTTCATTGGAAATTCAAGCTCGTACTCAGTTTTCGAAACACAGAAAGTTTATTTTGACTTCTAAGATCATAAAGATCTTTTTTCATAAATTTGGAAATTTCAGCAATCAAATCAGTCATGAACTTAGTTCTACCTTTGTGAAAGTGTATTCAAAATCTTTTACAGTACTTTTATTATCGATAAGAATAGTAAAGATCGCGCGATTACTTGACAAATTTGAATGTATGATTTTAAATTATGCTACCTGAAAAACTCGAAATAGTTTGAAAACATCTTGATTTTTCGTTGAAAATAATGAAGATTTTCGATAATTTTAATTGTTACTTCATTAATAAAATAGTTTCATTGAATAAAATCTCCACAAAAATGAAAGAATATAGACTAAATCTTCAAAAAAAAAAATAGCCGACAAACTCCAGGAATTCAACGAAAAATAAAGCTCTGATAGTTTATCTAAAAGTAAGAGGAAGTTATAGCCTAAATATTTACAAATTGGAGAAATTTTATCATAAACTTTCCTCAAAAGCGAAAGAAAGTGCACTCAAAATGAGGGAAGTATCTTTGCCCGGTCGCATCGTCACTGGCAATGTGTTCTCACATTGGATGAATTTGAAAACCCAAGGAAAATGTCGCATCGCTTTTTTGTCTAGGAGTTTTCACATCTAACTATCAGCGAAAAAAAGATCGAAAGGGTTACTTATGAAATCTATACATCATATGTAGGAATACAGTATTGTTTAGAAGTATCTGATTATAAAGTATTAGTAAATTATAAAAATTGAAAATTCGTGAAATAATTTATAAATTTAAACATACTTGAAAAGACTATTGAATATTATATTGAGTCCATCCATACAAGCTCCAAGTGAAAAATACGGTGTATATTCTTGTGTATTAATTTTTAAACTAAATAAAATATAAAAAAACAAATTCTCTTTTGATTCATGAACATTTTAAAAAATATACATTTCTGATTTAAATATTGCTTCTAATCTTGCAACATCCCAAGGATTAACTGGTTGACTGTTTGATTGAGGTTGAAGACGATTTTTAAATACTTGCATTAATTGTATATCTCTATCAGCTAATGGTCGGATTGCATCCATTATTTGTTCTAAATAATTGCTAACATATTCTGGTTTATTTAATAACGTATTATCTAATGCACGATAACTATATGATGGATACCCGCATAATTTTGCTAATTGATATCTAAAATAACACTTTAATAGATTAGCAACAATGAAAACATATTAAAAAAGAAATTTATTTAAATTAACAAACCTTTTATGAAGTAATTCATCAAGTAATTGTTCTTGTTCAGGCTCAAAACGAAAATAACTACGAAAAATAAATTCACGTACATTTTCATCATCATCATTGGAGTGAGCAGAATTAATTGTTACTGTTCTTTCATGAAATCTAATTTTCCAAGAAAAAAAAAAAAAAAGACACGAAAAGAAAACATTATTAGGAACAGACCAATTCCTAGAATATAATGTCAGAGATGACAGTTTGTTTTCCTTATTAAGAATGTACTTCCTGTGAATTCTTTATGGCAATCAGGATGATTTTTTTTATTCTACATATCCGAATCTATAGTCAAAATATTCATGAAATACAAAATATAGGTTTTGGAATTGGTCGAAACTTCGTATTATTTAGTTTTTTTTTCGACTGATTCTAATCAACAATGAGACCTGTGTTTTGCATTAGACAAAAACTTCGAAAAGAGTATTCAAAACTGACTACAATTTACATGAAGATTTGCTAAGAGTTCAGTAATTCTCAATACTGAACATGTTTTTTTGTAAGCAGGGATAAATTAATTCTTTGAATTTCTAATCGCAATTAAGAATATTTCCCATATTAAGAATCACTGAACTTCTAGCGGTTCTTCATGTCAGTGATGATCAATTTTAAACCCTCTTTCCTAAGGTGTTCTTAGATTTTGTCTAATGCAAAAGAAAGGTAGGTCCCATCGGATTTAAAAATTTCAGACCTGTACGTGTTGGGCTCTTGACACAGATCTCAAAATCAGTTGGAATGAGTCAAAAAAAACAAATACTAAAAATGCAAATTTTCGATTAATTGCGTTCCGAAACCTTGGTTTCGTATTTCAAGAATATTTCAACTACAGTTTCAGATAGAGCATAAAAACCTGATCGTGATTGGATATAAAAAATGGACAAGAAGTACATTCTTAATAAGGCAAAAGAATAATCTTTGACATGATGTTCTAAGAACTGATGCATCCTTAAACATGACGCAGTATTTTTTTGTTATTGCTAAATTTTATGATATCTTACCTCCTTCTTACCTTTTCTGGTAATTGTTTAATGGGAATTTTATATTCTCGATGTGCATTATGTCGAAATTGATTTTCTAGATGTAATATATCATCATTTAATTGTAAATAATTTAAACGATTCTGTTC